AAAACAGAGGCACTGAACCAACTTTGTTAGTGCCATTTGCTGCGAGTGCAAGTGCCATCGCAGGGAGCGGGGGCCGTGGCCGAGCGCTGCACGCCGAGCACGCCCACGGTGTCGTCCTCGCGCTGTGGCCGCACCCGGCCCGGTCTATTGCAAGTGCCATCGCAGACGGCGAGGGAGCGGGGGCCGTGGCCGCGGGGCGGGGCGGGGCCGCGGCGCCCCGTGGCCGGGCTGGCGGGGCTCCTGGAGGCAGGGGCGATCAACTGTCGGGCGCACTGGTAAAACAAAGGCACTGAACCAACTTTGTTAGTGCCTTTTAAAGGTAGGGAGTTGCACATTTCTTGTTGCAGTGCGCAGAAGGCGCGGGGCGGGGCGGGGCCGCCCCGCACCAGTACCGTGGCGGGGCGGGATGGGCTGGGGTGGGGCGTGCGCTGGCGGGGCCGCCTAGCCCCGTGGCGGGACGCTGATGTGCGCCGCACCGTCCGTCTGCATCAGCCCGCCAACCTCGCCGAGGCTGTGGACCAGCTGGAGCCGCCCACCAAACGGGTATGTGTCGCCAGAGTCACCCCCGCAGACTACGCCGAGGAGGACAGACACGCCAGAGATGACGACTCCCACGCCGCTGCCCGTCCCATCGCCTCTCCTGGGGGAGATGCCCCTGAGCAGCGCGCCGAGAGGCTGCTTGACGAGATGCGAGAGATGCTGCAGAACTTGGGCTCTGGGAGCAGCAGCCGGAGCTTACGCGAGTAGCATTGAGGCGCTGGGGGTAGCGCGGGTGAGTCCCTGACTAACGAGACGGCATCTGTGCGAACCGGGGCAGTTTTCGGTGACCCGTCGGAGGGGGACTTGATCAACCTCTCTCCGCGCGGGGCCCGACTAGGCACCTCCGTGAAGTTGGCGGGACCCATTCAAGCACAGTTTTTGCGACCCATCCTAAAAAACTGTGCAAAAACTGTGCTTTCCAACAATCAACTTTAAAAAAACTGTTTGCGACTCCTTCGTAACAAAAAACTCAAATTAAAAAGGGTCCCGCTAAGTTCACGCCAGCGGGACCCAGTGACGCACAATTAAATCTGAGCAGCACGCCAAAAAACTGTGCTTAAACTGTGCTTTCGAACCGTCTAGGCCGCAAAAACCGTGCTCGCCTCTTTATGGGCGAAAGCAACGTGTTTACATGGGTCCCGCCAACTTCACGAAAGCGGGACCCACCGCGTATTTCAACAATCCGATTCCGCCATTCTGACCGGAAAAACTGTGCTTTCAGGCCGTGCTATCCGTTTTAATTGTGCGTCCACGACAGGTGGCCAAACGCACCGTCAAAATCGCAATTTGACGGGAGGGCCCCGGTAAACTAGGCCAGCGGGACCCAGTG